GGGGACACGGGGGTCGCCTCGGGAGGGGGGGGCAGGGGGAGGCCCAGGCCTGGGGGACGCGGGGAGTCCGTGGAGGGGACACTCTGGGGGCGGCCCCGGCCTGGGGGACACGGGGGTCATCTCGGAGGGGGAGCCTGGGGACAGTCCCTGGCCTTGGGGACACGGGGGTCCCTTTGGGGGGACGCCCCGAGGACAGTCCCGGCCGTGAGGACACCAGGGTCCTCTCGGAGGGACATCCTGGGGACAGTCCTGGCCTGGGGGACACGGGAGTCCCTTTGGGGGGACACCCTGGGGACACCCTCGGTCTTAGGGACATGGGGGTCTTCTTCGGGGGCGACACCCTGGGGACAGCCCCGGCCTCGGGGACATGGAGGTCCCCTTGGAGGTGACACCTTGGGGACACCCTTGGTCGTGGGGACACGGGGGTCCCCTTGGAGGTGACACCCTGGGGACAACCTCTGGCCTGGGGGACACCCTGGGGACAACCTCGGTCCTGGGGACACGGGGGTCTCCTCAGAGGGGGACACCCTGGGGACAGTCCTGGCCTTGGGGACACTGGGGTCTCGTCGGAGGGGGAGCCTGGGGACAGCCTCGGCCTTGGGGACACGGGTATCCCTTTTGAGGTGACAGCCTGGGGACACCTCTGGTCTTGGGGACACGGGGGTCCCCTTTGAGGTTACACCCCAGGGTCACCTCTAGCCTTGGGGGTCCGGGGTTCCCCTTGGAGGGGGACGCTGGGGACAGCCCCCAGCCTTGGGGACAGGGGGGTCCCCTTTGATGGGACACCCTGGGGACACTCCTGGCCTGAGGGATAGAGGGGTCATCTTGAGGGGGACACCCTGGGGACAACCTCGGTCTTGGGCACACGGGGGTCTGCTTGCAGGGGGAGTCTGGGGACAGTCCTGGCCTTGGGGATACAAGGGTCATCTTGGGGGACACCCTGGGGACATGGGGGTCCTCTCAGAGGGGGAGCCTGGGGACAGCCCCAGCCTCGGGGACATGGAAGTCTCCTCAGAGGGGGACCCTGGAGACAGTCCTGGCCTTGGGGACACGGGGGTCCCCTTGGAGGTGACACCCTGGGGACACCTCTGGTCTTGGGGACATGGGGGTCATCTTGGGGGGGCCCATCTTGGGGACAACCCCAGCCTTGGGGACATGGGGTTCCATGGAGGTGACACCCTGGGGACACCTCTGCCCTTGGGGACAGGAGGGTCCCCTTTGAGGTGACACCCTGGGGACACCTCTGGCCTTGGGGACACAGGGAGGGGGGCCACCTTGGGGACACCCCCCAGCCGTGGGGACAGGGGGTCCCCTTCGAGGTGACACCCTGGGGACACCTCTAACCTTGGGGGACACAGGGAGGGGGGACACCTTGGGGACAGTCCCTGGCCTTGGGGACATGGGTGTCCCCTTGGAGGTGACACCCTGGGGACACCTCTGGTATTGGGGACACGGGGGTCCCCTTGGAGGTGCCACCTTGGGGCCACAATGTGATGGGGGGGGCCACCTTGGGGCCAGCCCCCCCCGTCCTGTTGTCCTGTCCCGGCCCTGACGTCACCCCTAATAAATAAATAATGACTTTGGGGTTTATTTTCGGCCGATGGAAAGAAATTTGAAAGGGAAATGGGGGGGGCCCGATCCGTTAACGAGGGAGCGGCCAGCCCCCCCTTCCCCCCCCGCTAACGAGCCATCTGCCCTTTTCCCACCCCTCCCCTCCCTGCCCCACGGGGGTGACGCCGACGCCGCGGGGGTGGCACCGGCACCACTCCCAGTTTCACCGGGGGGGGGGGGGGGCCCGGGGCCCCCCCCCGTTTTCCCGGGGGGGGGGGGGGAATCCCAGATGATGGGGAAAAAAATCCCAGATGATGGGGAAAAAAATCCCAGATGATGGGGGAAAAAATTCCACATGATGGGGAAAAAATTCCACATGATGGGGAAAGAAATCCCAGATTATGGGGAAAAAAATCCCAGATTATGGGGAAAAAATCCCACGTTATGGGGAAATAACATCCCAGATGATGGGGAAATAACATCCCAGATGATGGGGAAATAAATCCCGCATTATGGGGAAATAAATCCCGCATTATGGGGAAAAAAATCCCGCATTATGAGGAAAAGAATCCCAGATGATGGGGGAAAAAAATCCCAGATGATGGGGGAAAAAATCCCAGATGATGGGGGAAAAAAATTCCCCATGATGGGGGAAAAAATCCCACATTATGGGGGAAAAAAATCCCACATTATGGGGAAATAAATCCCACATTATGGGGGAATAAATCCCAGATGATGGGGAAGAAAATCCCAGATGATGGGGAAAAAAATCCCATATTATGGGAAAAGAAATCCCCCATGATGGGGAAAAAAATCCCACATTATGGGGACAAGGATCCCCCATGATGGGGAAAAAGATCCCCCATTGTGGGGAAAGAAACCCCCCATTGTGGGGAAAGAAACCCCCCATTGTGGGGAAATAAATCCCAGATTATGGAAAAAAATTCAGCAAAGTTGGGCAAATTGATGGCTTTTCCCATTCCAAGGTTTTCCCTCTTATTTCATGATTTATTTCCCCCCTTCCCATTTTTTTGTGTTTTTTTGTTCCCCCCTGTAGGATTCCGGTCGCAGCATCGGGAAAAGCCTGGATCTGGGAATATCCAAGAGACCTCCCCATCTTAATTTTGGGATTTTTCCCAGCTGGAATCTCGGCTCCGGGGTGAGACGGGAGCGACGGGCACCGGCAAAGGCTTCCGTGGACTTTGAAGGCCAAATTCCATCGGGATAATTCATTGGAAAACCGACTTCTTTTTTTTGGGAATCGGACTGAGGGGGGTGTTTCTCCAACTCCGCTCCTCGCTGCCTTGGGATCATCCCAAAAAACCACCTCCTCATCCCAAAAAACCACCTCCCCGTCCCAAAAAAACCACCTCCCCATCCCAAAAAAACCACCTCTTCATCCCAAAAACCCACCTCCTCATCCCAAAAAAACCCACCTCCCCATCCCAAAAAAAACCACCTCCCCGTCCCAAAAAAACCACCTCCCCGTCCCAAAAAAACCACCTCCCCGTCCCAAAAAAACCACCTCCTCGTCCCAAAAAAACCACCTCCTCGTCCCAAAAAACCACCTCCTCGTCCCAAAAAACCACCTCCCCATCCCAAAAAAAACCTGTTCGTCCCAAGAAAAACACCTCCCCATCCCAAAAAGAACCCCCTCCCCATCCCAAAAAACCACCTCCCCATCCCAAAAAACCACCTCCCCATCCCAAAAAACCACCTCTTCATCCCAAGCTTTAATCCTCCGACCTTCCCGGAGGAATTTTAGCTGCTAAAAAGCAGGAAAAAATTAAAAAAAGCGGAGATGATTCCCAAAAACTCATCCTTGACTCCGGAGCTGGCGGCGCCGCTACGGAAAAGCGCCAGGATCCAGGGATAAACTTTGGGAAATTGGGAAAAGGGAAGCAGGTGATGCTGGTTGAGGCGCCCGGGGCTCTCCATCCCGTATTCCCAAGGGATTTTCCCCCCCCCATCCC